GATTTGTTAAATTAAAATTTAGTGATTCAGAATAAGTTCTTGATATACTATCCAATGAATCCTTTGCTCCTTTTCCTAACTTATTTCTGTTTTCAATTGAATGAATATGAGTTTCGTCTTGGGGCCCATGAGATATCTCGCCAAGCATGAGTTCTATATTATATTTTTCATCTTTGCACATACCAAAGATATCGTATTTTTTAATAGGACCTTTATCATTATTTCTATCTAAGCTTGCTTGACTAGTGATTGCATCCCTACAAAAAAACACTTTTAACTCCTATATTTTCTAAATAAATTAAAGTTGTAAATTATCATCTTATTAAGATTTCTGTCTCTAGATCATATTTAATAAAATCGATAATAAATTTTAATACATTATGTCCCCAAGTGGATTTGTTTATATTTGGTCAACATGTTTGGTATTCAGGATTTTTCCATAATCTAGTTCTTATAATTTAAATTTTAGGTTACTAGAGATAAACATTAATATAATATAGACAGATATGTTTAGCTTACATTGAATTAACTAAATTTTTGATTCTAGCAAATAAAGACGTATGTTTTTTTGGTATTTTAATGTTTTTATTTTTACATTCAATATACTTTGTAACAAATTGTTCTACTTCGTCTGGTAGTAATAAAAGTTCTATAGGTTCTTTAACTAATTTTCACAATTTCTTCTTTTTTAAAGCTTTCATAACTGTTGGAATGTTTTCATTTATCAGAGTAGAAATATCCAATATTCCAGAAAGAATCAAGTTATTAGGACTTAATGACATTCTTAGTAAAGTTTGAGCCACAATCTTCACAACATCATTTATATTCTTGTATTGTAGCTAATTTAATAATTAATGTTAATTTAGATATCATATATCATACTGTAAAAAATCACAAAAAATTTATTAAATTTATAATCCGATTCTTTGCTTCTATAAGTCGTAAAGAGTCATATACTGATGTGCTTAAAAGTTTGTGCCATTCTAGATTTTTGGCACAATCTTCAACATATCTACCATATTTTACATATGAATTTTTACTTTGGGTTTCTTCAATCATGTTTACTAAGATTTTGAAATCATTCTAAAAAATATATATACTGTATATATTAATCACAATTTTGCAATTTATACTTTACAAGTTATTAAATATTATATATTTTAGTAATGAATGAATCAAATATATGAGCCATGAAGAATTAGTAAGCCTTGCAACAAGAAGCATTGACCAAACAAACTATAGTATATTTAAAAAGGCCTCACATCAAGAAGTATTTAGCCAAATAATTTACTCTTATACCAAGGATTTTAATTCTGTAAGCCTTACATCAAGAAGTAATCGATCAATTAAATTATTCTTATGTAAGGGTGTATTTAAATTATTAGACTTGCAAAAAAAAAATTGGATTACTCTTATATAAGGGGTATTTAAATATCATATAGTATTTGGAAAAATGAATGATTCTTATGCAATGGGGTTTTAATTCTAGAGCATTATTTGACATTCAAATTATTATCATAAAAAATCTAGTACTAGGCATTGTAATAAAGAATATCATAATGATACTTGCCGTGAATTCATTTGAGTTTAATTTTATTCTTTTGGCAAAATCTTTATTTTACTTTAAAGTGTATAAACTCGGTTTGTAATGTTTTTCCTTGATAAAATCAAAATAGTTAGTCATGACTTAACAAGTAATGATGCAAATGTAGTGATTGTCATTTTATCAAGTAAACAAACTTTAATTCTCATATGATCAGTATTATCAGCCAATCAAATCAAAGTACTCTAGTCATAACCCGGTACCCTAGAAATTTTTAATTACTGGATTTGCATTAGATGATTTTGATAATTTTTCCGTTTACGCATTATATCAATTATGCAATATGTTACTTATCTTGTCTTAAATATATATTATAATATCGATATATGATTTATCAGGATAGGATATTTGTAAAAAAAACCAAAATTATATATTGATATTATTTATTTCTATAAAATATATAATCGGTAGGCATTTAACCAGTATATATGAGTGTTGTAAAGAAAAACCTGTTAATTCTTATTAGAAAAATTCAGGGTTTTCTTTTGCAGCACCCATATATATACATAAATTTTTGAGCTATATTCAAAAAGTTACGTGTAGAAAGATTCAGTAGTGTGAAATAATTTTAAGAGACAGATTTAAAATAAATGTTTAATCATCCACATCAATTTTCTAATAAAACAATTCAGACACTAATAATAAATAACAACAGACAAAAAAAATAGACAAATAAAATGTATGTCCTATATAACCTAATTTAGCAAAGTGATCAATATTAAGACCACATGCAAAAAAGAAAGAATAATTAATAATGAACTTGAGTCAAAAATTTCAAATATAACAAGAAATGTACCTAATAAACAAAACTATCTAATATAATTCAAATCAGAAAACTATCCAAAATAGATGCAAAAAGGAGCCACCAAAATGTGAGTTCTTTAGAATCATGAGATTTTGATTGCGCAAAGTGATGAATATCAAGTTCAACTCTAATTAAGACTGAAAAATATTAATAATTATGCTCGAGTTAAGCATTTAAATATCATGATGAGAAATAAATATATATCTGATAAAAGAAACCACCCAATGTAATTCAAATAAGAAAACAAACCACTATTAACGAATAAATACTATTTCTATATTGAGATCAAAATTCTTAAAAAAGGAG